AAGAAGAAGAAGAAGAAGAAGAAGAAGAAGGAGGAAGAGGAGAGAGAGAGAGAGGGGACTGGCGAGGGAGAGGAGGAGAGACCCTCCAAGCTCCCGGTACCTCAGGCGGCAATGGCCGCCGTGCTGGCTCAGTCGCCCTGCTGCTGCTCCGCTCGCTGCTGCGCTATGCTGCGCTCCTGCTTCAGCCCCTGCGCTAAGTTTAGCGCATCAAAACAGTGCACTAGCACTGACCCTGCCGTGCCGGTAGAGTTCCGGTAGGCTGATCCTTCAACTGAGGCGGATACCGGTACTACCGGTAGGCAATGGTCTGGCCTCAATGCTGCGAGGCCAGGCCAGACCCTGGACCGTCCAGATGGACGGTTCAGCCTCAATCGGCGGGCGGCAGCTTCAAGAGCGCCGCCAGGCCCAAACGAAGTGTCGTTTGGGCCTACCCGATGGGATTAGTCCAAAATCAGGCCTTTAGGGCCTGTAACCCCAAAGGTCGGGCCTTTAGGCCCTGGTGTGTCCCTCCGGCCCTAAGTCGGGTCCGGTAGGACCCGTGTGAGTCGAAGATGTAACAAACCACCACCGCAACAACAGCTACAGCAACCACAACCATAACCACAACCACAACCATAACCATAACCACAACCACAACAACCACAACCACAACCACCCCAGACCCCAACCGCAACCCCCAACCCCAACCCCAGCAACAACTAAAACAGCCAACCACAACCACCCCAGACCCCAACCGCAACCCCCAACCCCAACCCCAGCAACAACTAAAACAGCCACAACCACAATCACAACAACAACCACAATCACAACCACAACCACAACAACCACCACAACCCCAACCAGCCCCAACCTCGACACCCACAACCACCCCACAACACCACCACACCACCCACGACAACACTGCCACAACCACCACCAACTGCCAACAACGACCAACGGCCACCAACCAACACCCACCAACAACCACACCCACGATGATGATGGTGGTGGGAAGGCCACGACAGAAACAACACCAGGAACAGCAGGAGCAGCGACGACCACCACCACCAACAGCAACAACAACAGCAGCAGCAACAAATTCACTTAATCAGCAATATTGACCTGCTCCACAATTTGCAGACATGATGGAGCAGGAACTTCTGCGTGGGACAATACAACCGTTTGTTGCATTGCGAGAGCCATTACAGGTAAGGGCCACACACCATTCTTCCAGAGGGCATTTGTGGAAATGATTCCAAATCAAAAAGGAAATGCAAAGGCAAAAACCAAATATGGAAACAAAGGGAAACAAGTTCAAACAACCATGAGGGGATGTCAGAAACCAAGATGCTTACGTCGACATCAGAGAGATGTCCAGCCATGATTCGCAGCGGGTAATACTTCTCCATAGACCAGACCCTGGCTGTACGATCATGTGAAGCACTCGCAAAGTAATAGCCCAAAGGGGAGTACTGTAACCATGCCACCCATTTGCAAATCCCCCAAATCCCCAAAACAGCAAAACATATTTCAAATTTTCTGCAAACAAAAAACAATCTCCAGCTGCCACACAACACTCGTCACAATAAACAGGGAACCAACGAGGGTCAGCAAGAGGCACTGTGCACACATGCTATACAAAAGCAGGGAAGGCACTCTGTGCTTTCAAGCCTTTCTAAGTAATTGGTGTTGTGTCTGGATCACCATAGAGTTTTCAGTATAGTCTCAATGGAGTCGTTATATCCCAGTATAGTCCCATGATAGCCAGTCAGAGTAGTCCCAGTGTATTCCCAGTAGTACCTGAGCAGGGTTTCCACAGCAGACTGACACCATAAACATGGTCCCAGAATAGTGTCGGTATTGTCTCGGTACAGTACAACCCAAACAACTTCACAAAGATTTTACAGTAAATCATAGAATGAAAAACACTTTCTTCTTCTTGACTTAGTGACTGTACCGGAGCACAACTACCCTTGTCATAGCACAAGTACCCTCGTCATCGGCTCACAGATGCGGCTCCACTTCATCCAGGGATCTAGCCACCGTCTCCCCTGGGAAAAGCTTCCCCCTTGTGAGTTCACATTCTAGAAGCCATAGTTACCAAGGTGAGGACATTACATCAGCAAAGATCACAACAAACTATTGTTGTCTGTGTCTTCTGTGGCCGGAAGACAAACAACACCGATGGAGTGCTGGTGAATCAAGACGACAGAGGAAGGGTGGCTAGGCACGGAAGGAAAAGACAGAGAACAAGAGGAAGCCGCGCCCAGCAGCACTACATTAGAGAAGAGGAACTTGCGCATCAGAGAAAAGAGACATGCGAGAGAGACCCACGACCACAAAGACATGAGGTCAGACAAACGGCTTCTGTCCAACACTGTCCCAATTCCGATACTTCTCACAAGTGTACTCTATACCCCACCCATCCATTCACTGTTTCTAACACTCTAACTGTCACATGCCTAATCGGCGTCGATCAGAACCGGGAACCGACCTCCCAGAGACAATACAAAAATAGCACAGCGGAGGACTGTAATACCAAGATCTGACTCAGCACGGACGATGACAGGCCCTGGCAGCATACATCATCACTCAGAAAGACGGAGAGGTGTCAAGTCGTAATATCACTGAACTGGGCAATGCCCGAATGTCACCAAGTCTCTCTCTCTCTCTCTCTCTCTCTCTCTCTCTCTCTCTCTCTCTCTCTCTCTCTCTCTCTGTGTGTGTGTGTGTGTGTGTGTGTGTGTG